CCCAGGGTGCCCAGGGCCGCTGGGAGGGGGGGGCGTGGGCAGTGTGCGAGGGGGGCCGTGCCGTGCCGGGGGGGTCGGACCGTGCGATGGGGGGCTGTGCGAGGGCAGGGTGAGCGTGCGAAGGGGGCGTCACTGCCGAGCCAGGGTGGGCGCTCAAGCAGCCCCGTGCAATGGGGGGGGCTGCGTGAAGCTCCCCTGCGCCGGGGGGGCCACACGCAGCAGAGCCGCCGCCGTCCCCCCGTCCCTGTCACATCCCGTGAGCATCACATGAGTCACGGGCCAGCGGAGCCCGGCTGGCGCCGCGGCGTGGGGGGGCAGCGGCTGAGGCCGGGCAGCTCGTGACACGGGTGGTGCCAGCCATGGCCGAGTACCGCAGCTTGCTGGAGGAGCTGGCCCAGAACATCACGGCTGAGGACCTGGAGCAGCTGAAGTCGGCCTGCAAGGAGGACATCCCCAGCGAGGAGAGCGAGGCCATCGCCACCAGCCACCACTGGTTCGCCTTCCTGGAGAAGCACAGCAAGCTGGACAGAGGTGAGACCCCCTCGGGTGGCCCTGGGCCCCCCCGTCCCCATCCCTGTCCCTCCCCTGGTCCCCAGCTCTGGCTGCTGCCCTGCTCCCAGTCTGTCCCCTGGCCTGGTCCCCATCCCAGTCCCCTGCCTCCTTTCCTCGTCCCCATCCTGGTCCCCTGCTCCCTGCCCTGGTCCCTGTCCCTGGCCCCTGCCCTGGTCCCTGTCCCCGCTCCCGATCCCTGTCCCCATCACCTGTCCCCTGGGGTCTGATCCCTGTCCCCTCTCCTGATCCCCATCCCAGTCCATGACCCCCCGGGCCTGGCCTTGGCCTTCCCCTCTTCCCTGTTCTGGTCGCCATCCTTGTCCCCTCCCTGATCCCTGTTCCCTGCCCTTGTTCCCACCCCTCTGCCTGTCCCTGTCCCCTGCGGTCCCCACCCTGGCCACTTCCCCTATCCCTGTCCCCATCCCTGTCCCTGTCCCCTCTCCTGGTTCCAGTCCCTGTCCCTGCTCCTCATCTCTGTCACCTGCTGCTGGCCCTGCTCCCGGTCCTGGTCCCTTGTCCCCTGCCTCGGTCCCCATCCCTGTTCCCTGTCCCCTGCCTTGGTCCCCATCCCTCTCCCCTGCCCCAGTCCCCACCCTGGACCCTGCCACATGCTCTGGTCCCCATCCCAGCCCTTGTTCCTGTCCTTTGTCCCATCTTCCAGTCCCCATCCCAGTCCCTGTCCCCTGGGATTGTTGTCCCCTGCCCTGGTCCCCATCCCTGCCTGCTCCCTGTCTCCTGTCCCTGTCCCCAGCTCCCGTCCCCTGCCCTCTCCCTGTCCCCGGCCGTGGTTCCCATCACCATCCCTGTCCCTGTCCTCGGGCACCCTTGGCGCTGAGCGCGGGTGGCTCAGCACGTGTCCCCGTCCCCGTCCCCGCAGACAACCTGTCGTACATCGAGCACATCTTCGAGATCTCACGCCGCCCGGACCTGCTGACCATGGTGGTGCAGTACCGCACCCAGGTCCTCAAGATCTCCGAGGAGGACGAGGTGGACACCAAGCTCACCCGCATCCCCAGTGCCAAGAAGTACAAGGGTAAGCCCCCCCGCGCCGGGCCAGGGACCCCCCCGCTCCCCAGGGCAGGGACAGGGACCCCCGGGGCAGGGACAGGATTGCTTGGGGGGGAGGGGGCACAGGGAGAGGCCCCCACTGACCCCCGCTGTGTCTCGGCAGACATCATCCGGCAGCCCTCGGAAGAGGAGATCATCAAACTGGCCCCCCCGCCCAAGAAAGCCTGAGGAGGGGCGAGGAGGAGGAGGAGGAAGGCTGTGCCCCCCCCCCCCCCGTCCC